GTCACAAACATAATAAAAAAAAAAAAAAAAATAAAAAAAAAAATATCACTCTTAATACAACCAGATAATTAACATTTATCTATTTTGGGGTGCACCTTAAGCTGTTTACTGAGCCTTATTTCTTTCATGTTAAAGAGTGGTTGCCACTGATGGCAACCAAAGGCCAAGAAGTGGTTGACATTTTTTCTGAATGGTTGCCAATGGCAACCTAGCAACCGTTACTGTCGAGCCCTGATAAACAAATAATAATAATGCTATCAGTCACATTCATCTTTTACTTTGGTTTATTGTGTGTTGTGTAACTTTTTTTTTGCAAATAAATACACTGAAAATACAAATGTAGTGACTAGGTAAAAGAGTCAATTACAATAGCAATATGTATATAATATGATCAAAGAGGTGCTGGATATGTGTATTATGAACATCATATAAATATCTGATTTAAACATCTTGGTACATCTCTAACCCCTAAATGATTGCTGATGCCTTTGCTTCTTTTCAAAGATTTAAAATCCAATACATTCCTGGTTACTATATATTCCACAGTTAGAGGAATGTTGTCAGGCTGCTCTGGCTCTGACCTCTAACCTGCTTGTAAAGCTGTTAATCCTGGCATTTAAAGTTACTATGATATCGCACAGAGGTTGGCAGACAAGTTTCTAACATACAAAGAACAGGATTTCACATCATGTTTCCTTCTCCCATGACGGATGGGTAACTATTTTCACAGTGTTGAAGGGAACCATTTGCTCTGATAAACTAGAAGTGGTGTTTTTGGTTGGGTGTTGGAGGTGTGGCGATGTCTTTTTGGAAGTGTATGTCTGAGCAGAGTTTCTGCAAATCCAGTGAGAAGGTCAGGCATACCAGTTTGGGTTTTTTGATCAAATATGAAGCACTGCATTTAAAGGATTAAAAGGCTTTTGGAAATGAAAATCCCAAGAATCCTCCGACAATGCAACATCAAATATACTTAACAAGTACATACAATTGTGTAAAAGACAATGTGGTTTAAGTAAGTTGCAGAATAAGAAATATATATTGTTATAACAATTGAAAAGTTTAGAAATGAAATACTGTAGGGTAGAATAGGCACTGTATACTGTCATCATGTATCAACATTTGGATATGAGGACTTTAAACCGATGTGCAGGACAGCGTATTATGAACAAACTGTAACTGAATGGTGAAACTTCAGGAGACTTTGTACTAAAGTGTTGTTCCCCATATCGTGTGTCTGCAGGTAGCCAATCAGACGTTCCACACGGACCGGCCCGACCTGCCGGAGTGTTTCCAACTCTCCGTTCTGTCATGGCTGCCGTGCATCTACCTTTGGGCCGTCTGCCCCATCTATCTCTTCTATCTCAAGAGGAACAACAGGGGCTACATTATGATGTCCATAATGAACAGGTTCAAAACGGTGAGAGGGGACTTCATTGTTGTACATTTTATCACAGTGCACTCCAGAGAACAAGGTTAGATTGTTACACGTGGCTGATATTCACAATGCCAGCTAGTGCTATGAATACTGTTGGTTGATCTGTTCTTCATTGAATAGCTCTAAAACAGTTAGATATATTTTACATTTCAATGGAAATGACTATATTGCTCCTGTGCATGATTTAAAGACAAATGAAAATCATTGGACGGCTAGCTTCAGGCATGTGTTAGGGTGTTTGACTGACATTGTTTAGTTACGTTTATTGGTTTATAGTGTCGTGGACAGTCCACATTAATCAACTGTCACAATAAACAGTAAATGGGGCAGCTTAAGCCAACATTGCTCATTTCCAGCTGCCGTCCCCGGCCAGATGATAATAGACCCTTAAATTGTATCAACACTAATTTCCTTATAGTTCTCTAATTTAATAATGTTAATGCAAGCAATTATTTACATTTGTTCAACAAGTCTTTGTAATGTAGTTAATAAAACTTACCATGCTGTTAAATTTGTTTCTTACTCAAAAAAAAAAAAAATGATAGTGAATTAGCTAGGCTAACTAGAATGAATGGGAAAAACTAAATGAAATCATTTGGCTGTTCTAGACTTGAGATTCTCAGTTTCCAGTGATGCTGTATGAGAGAAAGTCCCTAGTGTGCATCCAATGATGTTGCTGGAACTAAGCCACAATAACCTTTGGTTTTTAAGTATTTGATGTCTGTCTGTTTTTTAACCTTGCCTCGTTTCTCTCTTGCTCTGCTCTCAGGTGTTTGGCTTGTTGTTATGGATTGTGTGTTGGACAGATCTCTTCTACACATTCCACGAGCTGCGGCAGGGGAACACACAGCCGCCCATCTACTTTGTCACCCCGCTGGTGCTCGGCATGACCATGGTGAGGATATGTCTAACAAAAAAACAGAATGAGAACGTGTGGCTCTCTCGTTTATAATTTAATGCTTTTAAAACAAATATTTCCAGAATTTTCTAATACAGAGCTCACAGTGATATGATATAATCAAGTCAACTTGCATACAGTATATATTGAACTGGAATTACTGATGCTGATTATTACCTGTTGCAAAGTTATTCGGTTCAGCCCTAATATTTAGTCTAAATATAATTAAAAAGGTACATTTTCAAAATGAGCATGTGTCAAAAGCAGCTGTAGTCTCTAATGCAGTTTCCCAAATCCATAATACTATTCCCATTAAGCAGGGGTGCCCAATACATCGATCGCGATCGACCGGTCGATCGCAAAAGTAGTGTGGGTAGATCGCATGGCATTTAAAAAAAACAAAAAACATCCCTATTATGGCATTTGCCACTTGTCCCTCCCTACATGCGTGGGGCCTCACCTCGCGGAGGGAGCCTCATCTGAAGCGCACAGTTTCTCCGCCGCTGCGAGGTTCCGGCACTCGCAGTTCACTAGCACCCCCCCCGTCCCCCCGTCGACGCTTGCAGCACAGAGGGCCTCATGACTTTGCGTGGGGCCACAGATTGGGCAGGGTAGACCTAGATCATTTTGACTTTAAAAGTAGCTTCCAAGCTGAAAATGTGTGGGCACCCCCTGCCATACAGTACTACATACCTAACGTCATAGTTTCAGCAGTTACTAAACAAAAACATCTAAATAGACATTTGAATGTCACTGCCAATAAAATAAAAATAAAAAAAGGTCTTCCTTGATTTATCTGGATCTCACCACCAATTTGGAATTGCAAATATAACAGCATTTAAATGATCCTTTAACGCCACATTTCTAAATCGATAGCATTTATTTCTCTCTGGTTTTAGTACCCTTCATTTTTTCTCTCCCATGTAGTATTGTTTTGAGACGGACCATTTATCTTGTCACAGTGCATGACATTAAGGATTTTGGGAGATGGCCCTGTGGGCCGTCTAAGCTAATTTACAGATGGCCCTGAGCCCAATAGAGATTGCCCTGAAAAATGCGTGCGGACGAAATGACGCACGAAGGTTTTTGGGGGGGCCTCCCCCGAGAACATTTAGATCTCAGATGCTGTCTGGTGCATTCTCTCGACTGAATTATAAGATGAACCACCACAATATTATATTGTACAATTTCAATTGTATTCTTCATTTCATTTGTTTGTTTGTTCTTGTTTTCTCGCCTGCATGCCCTGCATAGCTATAAGAAATACTTAAGTTGTTGGTCAAGACACTGTGTCTTGACCAACAACTTAAGTATTTCTTATAGCTATGCAGGGCATGCAGGCGAGAAAACAAGAACAAACAAACAAATGAAATGAAGAATACAATTGANTTTGCCGGCTAACGGGAACTCTGACGTCGCCATTTTGTGTGCTTCGCGGATGCGCTCGGCTCCTCTCGACTGCTGCTCGGGTCAGCTTCCGGATGAGGAGGCATTCGTTCGACCAACTTAGAGTAGATAACATTACAAACATTTTTAACAGGGACCATAATAGTGTAAATAATGTTTGTTTTGGCAGTTACAACTGAATGTAATGTTTTCTACTTTTTTTACATCTGGGAAGGCATTTGCCTTCATCCGATGGAAAGTGTCTTGACCAACAACTTAAGTATTTCTTATAGCTATGCAGGGCATGCAGGCGAGAAAACAAGAACAAACAAACAAATGAAATGAAGAATACAATTGAAATTGTACA